CAAATGCATCTGTTATCCAACGTAATTATACAGTGACATACTTACTTTTTTTTTTTTACTTCTCATTATAGTTGTTGTTGCTGTATCTCAATAATCAATAAACTGAATCATTGTAAGAGTAAATATGTTCCTAGCTGTATTCGTTTGGATGGAAGTCATCACACTTTTCCTTGAGTGATTTCTATTGCTGAACAGATGGAGGTTGGCTTGGCTGCAGCTGATGCCATGCGCGAAATGGAGTATGTAGCAGGAATTGCTCCAGATATTCTTTGTGAGTGAAATCCCTCTTTGTTTGTTTCTTCTTGAAGATCATACTAATTGGTGTCCCCATGTTAAAGAAGATTGTTGGTTACCACCGATGTAGCCAGGACCTTCTGCCACTTTATTTTTCAGACAGATCCATTCAGCTTCTCTCGAGACAGGGCATGTTTTGTTGGAATCCTGTTTTCAGTTACATTTGAGCTTCGGGACTGAGGAGAATTGGCCTTTGAGCTTCTAGAGGAGCAGATCCAGCCTGTATGTGAAAAGGCTTGTGTAGCCTACGTATCATATCATCAAGTCTGTGACAAAACATTTCATAGAACACTGATGCAAAAGCAGATTCATGTAGCTAGTTACTCTGGACATTCTACTGCATTGTTTCCCAACTGGGGCTTTTCAAATAAGACGAATCTTGTTTTTAAATAATCTAAAACGACTACAAATCAAAATGAAAACTGACTTTGATCATATTTCTTTATTCATTCCATCAACAACTGTCATTTTTATTTTAGAACCAGGTTTCTCACGGTGTTAAAAAACATGAGGGATTTTTAAAGTGAGATTTCTAGACCTGGAAAAGTCAAGGAAATTAATATAATCGTAAAAGCTCCGTATTTCTAAAATTGAATATACATTTGTCTAGTTATGTTAAGCTCTAAAATATTGTACTTAATTATTTTACTTAATTAGTTTAATATATTGACACTCCTAGTTTCAGTAAATGAAAAAGGCTCTCTGTCATTACAGCAGAAGTACCAGAATTACGTTACCATACATGTGGTACCTTTGAATCTACTACTGGGTGGCCGTGTTTGATTTCCCAGCCCCAGTTACCAGTATAAACAAAGAAAATGATGCCCAAATATGATACAGGACAGATTAATGATACATTAATCATTGATATATCACTCAGA